TACTAAATAATAATGTTATATAAAACAAACCGTTTTATATATTAATGTTTTATAGAGCAGAATGTTTTAAATAAAACAGAATGTTTTTAATAAAAGAAAAAAGCAGAGGTATAGTTAAAAACAAACATGTCACAAGCACATATTAATGTTTTATAAAATAAACATTTTTTTTAATATATTAATGATTTATAAACCAGAATGTTTTAAATAAAACATAATGTTTTAATAAAAGAAAACTCAGAGACGTAGTTAAAAATAAACATCACTACTAAATAATAATGTTTTATAAAACAATCCGTTTTTATAGAGTAATGTTTTATAGACCAGAATGTTTTAAATAAAAGAAAATATTTCAATAAAAGAAAAACGCAGTATAATAACAACATGTCAATACCATATGTTAATGTTTTATTAAACAATTTCTTAATATATTAATGTTTTATAAACCAGAATGCTTTAAATAAAACAGAATGTTTTTAATAATAGAAAAACACAGATACATAGTAAAAACGTGCATGTCACTACTACATATTAATGTTTTATGAAACATTAAGTTTTATATATTAATGATTTATACAGGAAAATGTTTTTAATAAAAGAAAACAGCTGAAGTGTAGGTAAAACAAACATGGCATTATCATTATATTAATGTTTTATGTAACAGAATGTTTTATATATTAATGTTTTATAAAGCAAAATGTTTTTATAAGAGAATAAAAGCTAAGGCATAGGCAAAAACAATTATGTCGCTAACATATAATGTTTTATGAAATACATATGATAGAATCCAGGTAGAACTCAATGTCCAGGACAGAGTAAGAATATAATAAAAAAGGCTCAAACACTAATATTCTATCGTTATAATTTATTACATTGGAATCGTAATCACGATCCAATACATCAGACAAATTCAAAAAATATATATATATATATATATATATATATATATATATATATATAAATTCCCAAAAGGATAGAATTCAGATAGAACTCAATGTCCAGGACAGTAAGAATATAATAAAAAGGCAAAAACACTAATATTCCATGGTTATAATTTATTACATTGGAATCGTAAACACGACCCAATACATCAGGCCTAAAAATTATAAATATATATATATATATATATATATATATATATATATATAAATTCCCAAAAGGATAGAATCCAGGTAGAACTCAATGTCCAGGACAGAGTAAGAATATAATAAAAAAAGGCAAAAAACACTAATATTCTATCGTTATAATTTATTACATTGGAATCGTAATCACGATCCAATACATCAGACCTAAAATTCAAATATATATATATATATATATATATATATATATATATAAATTCCCAAAAGGATAGAATTCAGGTAGAACTCAATGTCCAGGACAGTAAGAATATAATAAAATATATAAAAACACTAATATTCCATGGTTATAATTTATTACATTGGAATCGTAAACACAGGACCAATACATCAGACCTAAAATTTTCAAAATATATATATATATATATATATATATATATATATATATATATATATATATAAATTACCAAGAGGATATAATTCAGGTAGAACTCAATGTCCAGGACAGAGTAAGAATATAATAAAAAAAGGCTCAAATACTAATATTCTATCGTTATAATTTATTACATTGGAATCGTAATCACGATCCAATACATCAGACCTACAAATTCAAATATATATATATATATATATATATATATATATATAATTTCCCAAAAGCATAGAATCCAGGTAGAACCCAATGTCCAGGACAGAGTAATAATATACAATAAAAAGCTCAAACATTAATATTCCATGGTTATAATTTATTACATTGGAATCATAATCACAATCCATTTCATCAGACCTACAAATTCAAAAAGAAATCGGAAAATATAACTCCGAGTATAAAAAAAAGAATTTTAGTGAGAGTTTATGTGTGGGAGTGGGAAACAAGTGTGAGAGGGAAATGTATAAAAGCTCTAGAGAGAGGGTGTAACAGAAGAAAGAAGAACAGGAAGGCCTAAAGGTGAAGGAGGGGATTAAAATTTAACAGGGAGAAGTTTTAAAGAGAGGAGTTAAATAACGGTTTAAATGAGTGAGATACAGATAAATATGAATTATTTTCAGATGCATAATTCGCTACCGATTCGCTGACCTAGAATTAAAATTAAAAAACAGACACCGGAAACGTGTGGATACATTTGTGGTGACACTATGCACAATAAAAAAACGATATGATCTAAACTTAAAATCCAACCAATTCATACTGCCGAGGTATATGTGAAAATTTTCCGTCTGCTTTGCATTACTAATCTTATGTATACAAGAAAACAGAATATGAGAGAGAGAGGAAAGGGGAGGGGCGCAAACTAAAAAACGAGGACATTTATAAGTGTAATCATATATATATATATATATATATATATATATATATTGTGTATATTTAGGCAGCAACTTTTCATTGATGCATATTTCATTAAATAATATAGACAAGTTTTCTCTATTTATTTTAAGTAAGTTCCTTTCATATTGTCTGATAAACTTACTCACATTATCATTGAAAGACGAAAGGAAATCACCATATTGATACATGTTTTAATCCTGTCTAACAAACTCGCTTTCACGACGCTTGACTCTATATTTGAATGATAACTCTAACGTTTTTAGGCATTTAAAACAACATGCCTGGCCGCGTACACAATTCCGGAAAATCCGTGTTGAAAACACAACTATACTTAAACATGAAAACAATAAACAAAATTTAAAAATTCTTGAAGCTTTATACATAAAATATTTGAAGCCTAACCTGAACAAAATAAACTATGAAATCTCCATAAATATTCTTAAATGCCTATAATTGATAACAGAAGCCATTGGTTTATATCAACGGCTTCCCATACTTAATACTTCTCGTTTTCACTCTCGCGTGGTCATGTGTGACGTCACGAGCTGCAACGCGATTTTCGCTTCCGCGTCTCGTATACACGAGTTTGTTGTTGCTTTGAAATTTTTCACGCAACAAAAACAGACTATAATTATTGTTTTGTGCGTGTATTGTTTGATATATTGAAATGTAATTGTCATCTTTGATAATGGCTTATGTAAGCCGAAAGCATATATTGGATTTAAACATGTATCAATATAATGATTTCCTTTCGTCTTTCAATGATAATGTTATTAAGCTTATCAGACAATATGAAAAGATCTTACATTGAAGTAATGAAACATGCACAAATATATATATATATATATATATATATATATATATATATATATATATATATTTATATGATCTTTAAAGATACTGAGGTAGGTGCTGGAGAAGTAAAGCATCCTAGCATCACTCTATAAACATGCGAATTATAAATTGGAGATGCCCAAATCAAACAAGTAGAAACATTTAAATATCTGGCAAGGGTTTTAACAGAGAACCAAAAATGCGACACTGAAATCCAAAGGCGCATTGGCATAGCAAAAGATCCCTCCCAAAAGCTAAGCAAAGTATTAAGAAACAGTAAAATTTCGTTAGAAACAAAGAAAAGAGTACTGAACTGCTATGTAATATCAGTCCTTCTATGCGGCAGTGAATGCTGGACAATCTCATCTCTTGGTATATGAATTTAAACGTGCTACTCGATTGGCAGCTAGGTCTCACCGTTTTATTGTTGAACTAGTTAGATGTAACCATCAGTTCTTTAATATAGCTTATTTTCTCGCATTTTCCACCTGTGAAATTCCCTCTTGATATCTTGCTTCCCTGCTAGAATCTACAAAAATTGAAATTCAATGCCAATCGCCATCTTCTGTCTTCCTGAAACCGGTACATTTATTGTCCTATTTAGAAGAAAAAAACTTTAGTCTTATTAAGGCAACCAATTTAAGAGAAGTAAAAAGCTTTACTCTTGGTAAGGCAATCAATTTAGAAGGAAAATTCTTTAGTCTTATTAAAGCAACCAATTTAAGAAAAGGAAAAATCTTTACTCTTGGTAAAGCAACCAACTTAGAAGGAAAACGCTTTAGTCTTATTAAGGCAACCAATTTAAGAGGAGGAAAAAACTTTACTCTTGATAAAGCAACTAATTTAGGAGAAGGAAAATTTTTATGTTCTTTGTAAGGCAACCAATTTAGAAGGAAAACTCTTCAGTCTAAGTAAGGCAAACAATTTATGAGAAAGAAAACACTTTACTCTTGATAAAGCAACCAATTTAGGAGAAGGAATGCTTTTATATTCTTGGTAAGGCAATCAATTTAGCAGAAGGAAAACTTTACATTCAAAACCAATCTGAAGTTTGATGGGGTCCATATGACTACAGCGTCCGAGATACTCAAACAGCATTTGGAATTGCAGTTGGCACCTCTACGACTCTGAAGGAGTGTGCGACTCGGGAACCTGTTCCACAAAAGTCGTCAATTTCGTAAGTCATATAAAAATAGTTCATGAACAACTGTATTACACATCATTTAGTAATTTCTTTTTATTAGTCATAAATCCCACTTAACAAAATTACTTTGTAGCTCACAGATTTGGCGTGATGGAAACTAAAGGTCATAGAAATTCTGGCCTTTCACTAAAAGAAACGAAAAATTATGTATTTACACACACACACACACATATATATATATATGTGTGTGTGTGTGTGTGTGTGTGTGCAGGTAGGTAGAAAATTAGGAAAGAAGACGTTAGGTAAATAATCCAGGGTTCATTAGTATTTTTGTTTTTATTTAAAAAAAAAAACAGTGCTCCATAATGAAGCAGAGCTTAGATTATAATTATTTTTTAAAAAATATGATTCCTTCGCTACATAAGAGTTCTCATGTTTCAAAAACGAGAGCCGAAACCATCAATATAATTATTAAAATTAAATTGAATTAAAGTAAGAAGAGGGCTTGTTACTTTAATTCAATTGAATTTTAATAATTATATTAACGGTTTCGGCTCTCGTTTTTGAAACATGAGAACTCTTATGTAGCGAAGGAATCATATTTTTTTAAAAATAATTATAATATATATATAGAGAGAGAGATAGATAGATAGATAGATAGATAGATAGATAGATAGATAATGAAGGTACTGGAATAGATAGATAGATAATGAAGGGACTGAGATAGATAGATAGATAGATAGATAGATAGATAGATAGATAGATAGATAGATAGATAGATAGATAGATAGATGTCAATTGTTCGGAAGAGCTCTCCGCTATGGTACACAGACTTTTTGAATTTGAGCGCAGTAATAGACTGGTGCCGAGATCTCATCAATTCACTTCTGAGCTGGCTAAATTTAGCCGCAAGTTCTATGCTAACAGTTTCTTTACTCGCTTGTTGAACTCCCTTCCAGGTTCACGTTTAATTTGTAAAAAAATTAAATACCATGTCAATCGCTATCTACTGTCCTCATGATTACTCTCTCCTCTTTCTGTTCCTAATTCTTCCGCACCCTGTAACTCCTTGTGTCTTAGTGGTCTTACTGCCTTGCATGGGGTGACTCGATTCACAAAAAAAAAATGATAGGCAGAGCGCAGTAGAAGTAAGACGAAGAAATTATTAAGGAAGGAACATTTATTATGGAAAAAAAAGAAAAGTGATATTTAAAAAATTGTTAAAGTTAATCACATTTAGATATTTTTTTTTCAAATAGGAAGGAAAAGGAAGTCAGAAACCGGAAATAAAATATTGAATTACAAAATTCTTACCAAATGCTGACAACTTGTTTTAATGCATTTGAAGACAATGTTTTTTTAATAGATTAGCTTCGACATTCGAAAGTGTTATGTGATAATTAAAAAAAAAAAAAATAAGTTAAATTAAAAAATTAATAATTGACTATAAACTGTAAAGATGGTATGGATTATCTGATGAAACGGGTGTAGCAGGAAAATTGTCCGCATCGGTAACAGCAAAACTCTCCAAATCGTATAACAGCATAAATGTCCAAATCGTGTAACAGCAAAATTGTCCAAATCGTGTAACAGCAAAATTGTCGAAAATGTGTAACGGCATAATTGTCCAAATCATGTAACCACAAAATTGTCCAAATCGTGTAAAAGCAAAATTGTCAAAATCGTGTAACAACAAAAATGTCGAAATTGTATAACAGCAAAATTGTGCAAATCGTCTAACAGCAAAATTGTCGATAGCATGTAACAGCAAAATTATCGAAATCGTGTAAAAGCAAAATTATCGAAATCGTGTCGCAGCAAAAATGTCCAGATTGTCTAACAGCAAAATTGTCGAAAACGTGTAACAACATAATTATCCAAATCATGTAACAGCAAAATTGTCCAAATCGTGTAACGGCAAAAATGTCGAAATCGTGTAACAGCAAAATTGTCCGCATCGGTAACAGCAAAACTCTCCAAATCGTTTACAGCAAAATTGTCGAATCGTGTAACAATAAAACTGTCCAAATCATGTAAAAGCAAAATTGTCGAAATCTTATAACAGCAAAATTGTTCAAATCGTGTAACAGTAAAATTTTCGATATCATGTAACACCAAAATTGTTGAAATATTGTAACAGCAAAATTGTCCAAATTGTGTAACAGCAAAATTGTATATCCGAGTACACCCGGTTTATATTGTATAGTGTAGTGAGAAATCGGATATCGAATTCCAGTCAGTTTCATTACATGCGCAAATATCCTTGGGAAAGTATAGTCCTCCAGCTATGGGTTAAATAGTAGGTCGTCTATCTAGAAAAAGCATTGTTATTCTCAAGAAACAGTTATTGCAGAATGAACTTACAAAAAAGAATTATTCTTAGAATCTCAAATATGTGTCGACTTTAAATAATCCACAATGGGTTGATAAGCCATAAAAAATAAACAATTCGAATCAAATTTGTGTGTAATACTTCTGCGTAACTCTGTATATCACAAACAATTGTACATAATTTTTTTCTTCAACTCTTGAAACATGACTCTCATAGTATGATAGAGTTTCTTATCACCCCCACCCTCGCCCAGAAAGACTTTGGAAACAACAGTAATTATTACGTTCAGTGTATTTTACTCATATATCGTTAGAGAGATTTTACCATAGAAAATTATCAAAAATCAATGACTCAGCATCCTGTTTTGATATCTATGTCCATCGTTATCACACCTCTCATGTTTTTTGTGTGTTTGGGGTCCATTAGAAGAAAGGAGCTTTCGGTTTTAAAGAATTTCATTGAAGAAACGTTAGGTCCGATAACACAGGCAATGTGCCAAAATGGTTTTCGCCATTTTGATGTCAGACCAAATTTAATTGACACTGGTAACAGGTCTGTTGAGAAATATTAATGCTTTGTTCACTGTATTGTGCCAGACGATTCCTCCTATCAGAATCCATCTTGCTCATGTATAAATCTACCATTCTTTCGTCCACTAAATACTACTGCCATTTCACGTCTGGCGCTTCTATTGTATATCTCCAAATTCTTTGGGCAATTTTGAAGCGGTGTAATGGTTAACAAGCTTATCTCGCTAGAACAACTACAACTGAGTAGGGACTTAGATCTTCACTGGGTGCTGCATATTTTCGGCCTTTAATTTTGTCATTTCGGTCTGATGAGGCAGATATTAAAAACTTATCTATCGAAATAAATTTATTACCGAGTTATTCGATGATATATATATATATATATATATATATATATTATAATTTTTTTTATAATTTTTTTTCGCTACAAAGTTCTAACCATGTTTCAAAATTGGAAGCTAAAAGCTTCGAATTTAATTTTGTAATTAAATTAAAGACATTAGTTCCATTTCATCCTCAAGCGAATTTTGGAGTAACTTATTCTTAAATTTACTCAGTTTTAAAGGCACTGCAAAAATTCATAATTCACTGTTTCTAAGGATACAGAGAAATCCATTCATCCAGACAAGGGGTGGTTGTGTGTTCATTTTCATTAACTTTCGTTGTATCAGTTATTAGTTACGTCCGAAAAAACGGTTACGTTTAAGTAGAGGTAGGCAGGTATTTTTCAACGAATTCTGACATCCGTTAAATGCATGTCGTCTGTTTTAAATCAATTAATTTATAATATTAATGCTCTGTAAATTTACATTGAGCAGTATTTTGTAAAAATAAAAATATCTATAAGAACACCGGATTATATATCTTTCGTTCTTTTATATATATATATATATATATATATATATATATATATATATATATATATATATATATATATATTTAAAAGAGAGAAACCGCAAACGTTTTTGGTTGTAATGTGGAATTGTTTTAGCATATATATTATACTAGCAGCATGGCCTGGCGTTGCCCGTGAATGGTTCAAAAAAATCGTACGACACATACAGCAATCGCTATCACTTGACTTAAAATATTTTTGCCCTTCCTTGCCTTTTAAAGGGTGCCCTTCGCCGTGCTGATGTTGCTACATGCCTTACTTCTTGCCTATCTCACACTGCGAATTTTTCTAAGCTCTATACTAAACATTAAATCTGTTACGAAAAAGAACTAAACAAAATGAACACAAAACGATCAGCTTTAAAAAAAGGACTCGTAACTGGAAAAACCGAATGAAAAAAGAATGTTAACAACAAATACTTTTTCACACCCAACCCAGTTCTGCGGAATCAGAATCAACGTTGAGTTTAAGCAAGCGAATGAACCAATTTGAGTAAAGTGCCATGCAGATTTAAATTTTTCCCACTTGTGACGAATGCAGCTATCGGGGTATTTTTTTTGCATGCTAGTTAACATTCGTGTCAGTCAACTGTTGGCTCTCACGCTGGCAAATAGAATCTTCCTGCCTATTCGTAGCAGCCAGCTATATACATCCTGCCATTTATAGATAGAGATTTTAGTCCTCATATTTCTGCTACACGTGACCTTCTTCAGTCAAATAAAAGGAATACATTTTTAAATTAAATAAATTTTACTTATGTTCTTTTAACTGCCTCATTCATTTTCTGTATTTCTTAGTGAGCCTTGATCTCATTTCTTTCTAAATGTTAATAACACCATTAAGTTTGGGATGAGATGTATGATGATAGATGTGTGGATGAGAGATGTCTTCCTATCCCTGGGTGTGTACGTGTTCCCGTTATCCTGCATATGTATATTTACCCCTCTTTTAATGAATATATATATATATATGTGTGTGTGTGTGTGTGTGTCAAAAACAAACGTTACGGTAGTTTTTTTGTTTTTTTTATATGCACAAATCCCTTTCATCATAAAAAAATAAAATAAATAAATCTCCATAGACACGCATACACAGACTAGGGTGAATACATCTTCCGTTTCAAATTTAGACACCCCCACCTTTCCCTGACTTGACATCTATGAAAGTAACTCTATACTGATACTTATTATTAACACCCAACACCCGCCTACCCAATTTAAACAATTCACCCTAGCTGTTATCATGGAAATGTTGATTTCAATTATTAAAACACGTAAATTTCAGAAATACGTTAAAAAAAAAAAATTTCGCTTGAAGATGGAACAGAGCTTATTTTAACTCAATTTAATTCAAATAATTATATTGAAGTTTTCGGCTCTTCTTGTTTTGAAACATGAGACTTTTTATGTCGCGAGTTGGAATCATATTTTTAAATAAATAATTGAAAGAAATTCGGATTACCAACACACAAACAGAGAATGTCTCATATCGAGAATATTTAACATTGAACATAAGGAAAAAATTAATTATTTTTAATAATATGTGGAAATCTCAACTTTTACCTGAAGACGGTCGCGAAACCAGAAACACGTGTCGTAAAATTATGTAAAACAAAGCATAATATTTTTTTTCTAACTAAATCCACATTACAACCAAAAACGTTTGCGGCACCTCTCTTCTCTTCTTTTTTTAATATACATACTTTTTTCTCGTTGGAACCACTACAACCTCTTTCTTTTTTTATATATATATATATATATATATATATATATATATATATATATATATATATATATATGCGTGTGCGTGTGTGTCTGTGTGTATTAATCATTTCACCCCAAGCACGGCATTAAAGCCCCTAAGACGCAAGGGCATTAGAGAATACAAGGAACAATACTTTTAAGAAGTGAAAAACAATAAAAGAACAAGAATTGAAAAAACAGAAGTTATTAATGGACTTTACATTTTTTTTTTCATATATTGTCTCGTAAATAAGATCATTGAAGCCCAAAAGACATTTGGATGTATGAGTACTGTATTTGTCCCTGTTGGCCGACACACCATGTCTCTTTTACCAAATATGCCACTTAACCTAATCTTGGGATAGGATAATTTGTGAAAATAATTGCCGACTTATTTCTATTGGATCCGTAGTTTTTGAAGTGTAAAACAAAATGGCTGTCTGTTTTTAAATGTCAAATCAGATTTTGAAAATGCTGTCATTTCTCTTGATCTTTCCGTCCACACGCAGACGTATGTGTAAAAGCGGACATTAGGGACAACACCGAGTCTGTTAGAGCTCTGAAATTTATACATTTTCTTTGTTCTCGGGAACTGAAAACTAGAAAAATAATAACTATTTATTGATTATATTATTTACTGAAATGGTTGTCAAAAGATCTGCAAATTACCAAGATTGGAACTTTATAAAATGGTAAATAATAAGGATTTCCTTATAACTGCTACGCATCTATATAATAAATGCGAATGTCACCCTTTTTCAAATTGACTCCTACGGCCTCTAGTTACGAATCTTTGTAGGTTATTTAAAGCCAGAAAATATTTTGTGAATTGAATGATTTTTCTTTCATAGAATAATGATTTACTTATACAAGAGTAAGTAATTAACCCATAGTTGAGGAGAAATGAAGCAGATTTATAACTTTCTTAAGGGTATATTCGCGTAAATGAAGTCAACGGGAATTCGTCATCGGTTATACGATTAACAATTCTGAGCCATTACCCATTACACCACCCGCACATGCAAGCTTAAAGCACCTGGTATTCCCAAGCGGTTACCCATCTAAGTACTGACCAGGCTCGGCGTTGGTTAACTCGGTGATCGTACGGGAACTCGGCTCTCCAATTAACAATTCCAATACATTATCCATTACACCAACTGCTTTTCCCACCTTAGCGAAACTAAGCGGTCACCATTTAGTATAGACCAAGCTTGACGTTGCTTAACTTTGGTAATCGTACGAGAAGTGAAGTTTTAACGTAATATAACCATAAGCTGTCTTATTGTTTGTTCATAGGTACATTTATTGCTTTTAATAATTAAAAAAATGTATTGCTCGTATTAAAATCTATATTTACACTTTCATAGTGTTTTGACCCCAGTTTGGGGATTAAATATTTTCCCGTAGCTGGGACCCTAACAGGTGCTACCACCCCAGGTCAGAGTGGACGTGGGAACACCAGCAATTAAGAGATGGTTCCACGCTCCTGAAAACCTCTTGATCAGAGGCCTTACTGCTGGATGTAGTTTATCGTCTAACCCAGGACGCACAGGTTAAAATGTACGGTGATTTTTAGCACAGTTTTATGCAGCAATGTAGCTTTTTTTCACCGTAACATTAAAGAAAAAAAATGAAAACTTAGACAGGGCCTTATTCTCTAATCGAAAAATGCTTATTTCGTTTGATTTTAAGAAATTCATTAATCCAATTTTTCGGATCTATCTTTTTACAAATATTACAAAAACTCTCTCCTCAATGAATATAATTTTAATAATGCATTCTGCTGAATTTTTAATAGAAGTTATTTTCTTCATTTCTGTTTTACCCTCCGCGAAATTTATTTAAAAAAAAAATATTTGTCGTAAAAAGTTAGTTTAATACTTTTTCTCCATGATATTGTTATTCAAATGAACAAATATATTCATTATTTACATCATTCGGACTATTGTCCTCATCTTTGTCGCCATATTTATTAGAACGCTTCGGCCGTTGTACGCTCCGGCTTTCTTCAGGTGGTTAGAATGTCGAACTGAACCCTTTATTTCGCTCATTGGGGTAGACTGTTCTAGTTCCACGTGCCATGTTTTTAATGGATGTCAGTTATTAGTTATCTCCTGTTAATTCCCCTCTGAAAGTTCTCCACTGCCTTAACCGGGTATTGAACTCACACTCTTTGGATCCTATCACTGGATCTAACTAACGCCTTTATCCACTGCCATGGGTCAAGGACGGATAGGAATCCGCATAAACTGTGACCCTTACTCTGTAACCATGTACCTGCTTTGTGGAACCGACTCCCAATAGGATGCTTCCCTGATCACTACAATCTTAACCTGTTCACTTCTAGGGTTAACCGTTCTCTTCCCCACCAATCCGCATAAACTCTGCCTTGACTGTCCCCGGGCCTTGTACAGGGTGAACCTCACTATAAAAATAATATCGGCCTGTACAGGAACGACGGACTCCTAATCTTAAGAAACTGAAAGAGACAAAAAAAAAAAACTCAGACAAAATCAGAAAAATAAGCATAAAATATTTCAAAAATATGGGATTCGACATAGATATATAAACTGACCTAAAAGAACAAGATTCCTAAGATATCAACATTCAATCAAAG